CGGCAGGGTGCAGGGATGGAAGTCTAAACCCTGCGCCGGGTCCATCTTCTGATCCTGAACACAAACACAGCAGCAGATTTTCTCTTTGAGATGTTTTAGTGCACAGGATAAAGGTAAGGTAACATCATTATTACCTACTGGATAAGTTCTAGAAAACTAGAGAAGCACTCATTTTAAATCTGTCGATACCTAAAAGTACCTAAAAATAATTATTATTTTCATGCTGTCTGAAAACCAATAAATGGCCAGTATTCAAATGTTATACACTACTGTTCAAAAGTTTAGGGTTCGTACAATTTAAAAAAAAAGTTTTTTTTTTATTAATGTCTCTTCTGCTCATCAAGGCTGTATTTATTTGATCAAAATAAATAAAATAAATGTCTTTACTGCCACTTTTGACCAATTTAATGTGTTCTTGATGAATAAAAGCATTAATTTCTTTAAACATTTACATTTTTGTCTAAATATTTTTATAATTTGACTTTAAATGAAAAGAAGGTAAAATGAAAAGGAAATGCCAATGAAATGTTCTGAAAACAGTCAGTTCCTTTCACCGACCGACACCAAAAAATCTCTAACGATGAGCAATGACTGATAAATGCATCCATACAGAATACTCTAGTAAAAACATATTTATTTATGGCGTTTCATCAAATGTTAACAACCTTTTATTCAAGTGTGTGGACTTTTGAGTGTGTGGTGTTTATCCATTCGTTGAATATGTTTTGTCTTGCTTGAAAAGAGATGCATAATTAGGTCCATATGCTGTGGAATAACATCAATATTTGTCAGACAGTCTGTCGATCACTGACCTCCACAAGCAAGAAGCTGCATAAACAGTTCGATTGCCTTCAGAATGAGGCAGAGAACACCAGTAACACATCGAAATCTTGAAAGTAGCGCAAACAATCACAATCTTGGGCCTCGTTTTAGATTCAGCCTGAGCCTTTTGTTACGCTGACAAATGTGCCTGCTGGCAACAATAATCCTTGTTATTTTTCGGAGCAGTCTGGGGCTTGTGAAACAAATGCTGTTTGTGCTCCTTCAATGATCGCAGCGAATGGACGATACTATCAGTAAAGAATGCCATAAAAACAAGAGGCCAGATCAAAATCTCGACCGCTCACATTGCTGAGAAACCACCAAACCTCGCACTGAACCAGCCTAAGTGGAGACAGACACAAAGTTTTACTAGCACTACTAGTGTGTGTGTGTATGTGTGTGAGAGAGAGAGTGAGAGAGTGTAAGTGTGTGTGTGTGAGAGAGAGAGTGAGAGAGAGAGAGTGTAAGTGTGTGTGTGTGAGAGAGAGAGAGTGTGTGCGTGAGAGAGAGAGTGTGTGTGAGAGAGAGAGAGTGTGTGTGTGTGTGTGTGTGTGTGTGTGTGTGAGTGAGAGAGAGAGAGAGTGTGTGTGTGTGTGTGTGTGTGCGCGTGTGTGAGATTGAGTGAGTGTGCGTGAGAGAGAGAGAGTGTGTGTGTGAGAGAGAGAGAGTGTGTGTGCGTGAGAGAGAGAGAGTGTGTGTGCGTGAGAGAGAGAGAGTGTGTGCGTGAGAGAGAGTGTGAGTGTGAGAGAGAGAGTGTGCGTGTGAGAGAGAGAGTGTGTGTGTGAGAGAGAGTGTGAGTGAGTGAGAGAGAGTGTGTGTGTGTGAGAGTGAGTGAGTGAGTGTGTGTGTGAGTGAGTGAGAGAGTGTGTGTGTGAGTGAGAGAGAGAGAGAGTGTGTGTGAGAGAGTGAGTGAGTGTGTGAGAGAGTGAGTGAGTGAGTGTGTGTGTGAGTGAGTGAGAGAGTGTGTGTGTGAGTGAGAGAGAGAGAGAGTGTGTGTGAGAGAGTGAGTGAGTGTGTGAGAGAGTGAGTGAGTGAGTGTGTGTGTGAGTGAGTGAGAGAGTGTGTGTGTGAGTGAGAGAGAGAGAGAGTGTGTGTGAGAGAGTGAGTGAGTGTGTGAGAGAGTGAGTGAGTGAGTGTGTGTGTGAGTGAGTGAGAGAGTGTGTGTGTGAGTGAGAGAGAGAGAGAGTGTGTGTGAGAGAGTGAGTGAGTGTGTGAGAGAGTGAGTGAGTGAGTGTGTGTGTGAGTGAGTGAGAGAGTGTGTGTGTGAGTGAGAGAGAGAGAGAGTGTGTGTGAGAGAGTGAGTGAGTGTGTGAGAGAGTGAGTGAGTGAGTGTGTGTGTGAGTGAGTGAGAGAGTGTGTGTGTGAGTGAGAGAGAGAGAGAGTGTGTGTGAGAGAGTGAGTGAGTGTGTGAGAGAGTGAGTGAGTGAGTGTGTGTGTGAGTGAGTGAGAGAGTGTGTGTGTGAGTGAGAGAGAGAGAGAGTGTGTGTGAGAGAGTGAGTGAGTGTGTGAGAGAGTGAGTGAGTGAGTGTGTGTGTGAGTGAGTGAGAGAGTGTGTGTGTGAGTGAGAGAGAGAGAGAGTGTGTGTGAGAGAGAGTGTGAGTGTGAGAGAGAGAGTGTGAGTGTGTGAGAGAGTGTGTGCGTGAGAGAGAGAGAGTGTGAGTGAGTGAGAGAGAGAGTG